AAAATTGGAGATTAAGTATCTGTACGTAGATAACCTTGACTGTAATTACCCATGATTTCTGTAGGTTTTCAAATACCTGAAATCCTTATCTGTTTCTTCTTGCGCGTTTTTTTTTTTTACTCTACTTTCATTTTTACTGGTGAAGTCTATTTTGGATAATTTGTTCATAAAATGGTATACATGAAGGAGACAGAGACAAACATTGAAAAAGCTGCTTCAGCAAGCAATAATTGTAACGTGGACAGTCGCATATGTCACCACAACACCTTCGCGTCGTAATTGATTTACATAGGGTTAAATAAAAATTTATACTAAAACTGATAAAAACCGGAAATTGTTTTCAATTCCACCACATCAGTCGCCTCTTTAAGATAGCAATTTCCTACAAATGAGAAATAGAAAATCATCGCTGTGTTTGTCGTATCAGACAACATCTATGTACCAAATTTCATCCAAAACAACCATTTAGAAACTTCCACCGGTGACCATTTTGCTAAAACAGAACAAGAACTCCACCGTGAAGTTGATGATATCAAACATTAACTATACACAGATTGCCTTGAAAATCAGACATCTAAATTTCGACCACGTTCGCAATATAAGTATACCCCTACACATCATGATACTATATATGTGTAGTTACCTGGCAGTATATTTATATATGTGTAGTTACCTGGCAGTATGTATATATATGTGTAGTTACCTGGCAGTATATATATGTGTGTGTGTAGTTACCTGGCAGTATATATATATATTTATTTACATAGCAGTATATATATATGTGTGTTTGTAGTTACCTGGCAGTATATATATGTGTAGTTACCTGGCAGTATGTATATATGTGTGTGTAGTTACCTGGCAGTATATATATATATGTAGTTACATGGCAGTATATATATATGTTTGGTGTGTAGTTACCTGGGAGTATATATTCATATATGTGTAGTTACCTGGCAGTATGTATATATATATATGTATGTAGTTACCTGGCAGTATGTATATATATATATGTGTGTATGTAGTTACCTAGCAGTATATATATATGTGTGTGTAGTTACCTGGCAGTATATATATATATGTAGTTACCAGGCAGTATGTATATGTGTAGTTACCTGGCAGTATATATATATATATATATATATATAGATATGTAGTTACCTGGCAGTATATATATATGTGTGTGTAGTTACCTGGCAGTATATATATATATGTGTGTGTAGTTATGTCAGTATTTTTTTATGATTTCACGATATTGTTTATATATGTATGTATATATATGTACAACGACAGAAGATGATGAAAGCAAATATACATGTAACATTGGCGTATATTTCAGCAGTTACACTTTGATATTCGTGAATCATCGCACTACATCTGGTTATAGTGGGTAATTACAATATTCGACCGTCTTGCTTATATGTTATCAAGTTTTGTGTACAACTTCAATCCTTCCTTTTGATAACGTAACACAGTAGTAACCAATTCTTCCCAGCGGTCAATTCTACGTATACTTAAGACAAAAGACACTGAGTGGCAAACACGTTCAAAAACATAACTCACAGACACTGGACAACACCTGACAGCTGATTATAGATTCTTGTGAAAGACATGGTTAAAAGCCTTCGCGAACGGCAGGAGTCTTACACAACAACAGCCTAAATCGATTGATTGATCAATGGATTTTTTTCCCTTTTTCCTAATCACTCTGCCCAGTATGTGCAGGACAATAATCTTGTGTGTTAAACAGGATATTTAGCAGCAAAATGCTTTAATTAGAAGCAGTAGAAAACTGTCCACTAATTAAATTTTCCTCATTAACAGTTACCAGTGCTGTACGAAAATAAATCTGACAACAATGAAGCGCGCGTGCTAACATTTTTCTTGTGATACGGATTCAGACAATAGCATTGATCTATGAAAAGTTCAATCCGGGCATCTGGTAGGTCTCGTTGGGTCCACATGGGATCCTCGTGAAGTCTCCGTGCACTGTACAGAGTCATTGCACTCGTCATTATCCTGTAACGGGAATACATTGTTTACCAGAAGCGGTAAATTTACGGAACATTAATACATATTACATTTCAATGATTTTCTCTTTGGAAGACGCTAGATATCGCTGAGGCGACTACAAATGATAGTTCATCATCCTTCCTTTAAAATATAATAAGTGTAGGGTATATTTCTAATGCACAATACGATTGCTCATGTTACAGCTCTGGACCTATTTATTCTGCTGTATGCGTTTGTTTCATGACGTTAGTATATTTCTGCCAGAGATATTAACGACTAAATGTCTGCGTGGAATTGATTTTGTAAAATGCAATCACCAAAAGCAATTGGTTGTAAATGAAACAGCAAATGATTTGATACCCTGCACATAAACACTACACTTTTCGTAAATGATTATAATGTAACGTAAAGGAGAAGATATAATCTTTGCTGTACACACAGACATGTTTTTATTCGTGATCCTTGAGCGGTTCTGAAGACATGCTTGGTTTGTATATAAAGCTATACATACTGGAAGTGTACTAGACTTTGTAAATTGAAGAGCATGTTTATATTACTTCAATTAGTAGTTAATGTGTTCTAAAGCCTGTCTTATACTTATCACGACAAACAACCTAGAGTTTCCGGTTTTGTTTTCTAATAGAGTATCATAAACAATTGTCTACGTTACATTCGAAACAATAAAGATATCGATCGGATATTTCGGTTTATTGTTTAAAGATGAGGTCAGATTAATACTACATATATACAACTTTCTAAACATATTGCACATACTACCAATATTATTCTCGCTTTCCGTTACGAGTATATAAATATGATACCTAAATTAATAAATTGATTTCAACATGGCCCAAACAAGCACTATTTTTAAAATTGTTGGGCAGTTGATGTGATAAAAGTGCCCATGAGATATTGGATACGATAGCACAAAGTTATTACTCTAATAAGGTAGGACTTTCCATAAATGTGGGCATATGACGGCCATTAATGCGTGAAAAAGTGAAAACGAAAACAAAAAACAAAACGATTGATTTTTTTAAAATATTCTAAATTCACTTCAAAATATCATAAGAAAATCCAGTGTGTAGATGCTTATGTTGCCTTAAAAGAAATTATCAATAAACAAGCGATATGGTAGTGACTAAACGGAAGCAAACACAATACACAGATGATATTGTAATGATAAGTTTATTGATACGGTCGAACTGTCACATCGTCAATACCGAAAGTAGTATCTCACAAATCTCATTTCCGGTGCAGATATTGTCCGATGAATTATGAAAAATTGCAAGTTAACCCAGACAGTGTTTTCCATTATCATGAAATGTATGTGATTTTGTGTATTTGTACATTAGTAGAAGCTTTCAGGATACATATTCAAACAAGAACAAAAAATAAATGGTAAATATTTTATCGTTGTATCAACAATAAATCATTAGATACGAGCGTATATTCTAGTGATTTGTTTGTTTTATTCACATGTAATTAAATATATCATGGATTATTAAATACAATCAGATCTGTGTTTATTTGAGAAGCAATGGACAGTATAAAGAGCGCATTCAGTTGGTATGTTATAGTTTATAATAGAATCACCCTTGTCTGCGTGTCCTTCCGTTCGTTCTCCTTTGCGCCGTTTTGGTCCCACTTTTATCTCCGCATGAGATCTTTGGCAGACATGATGCAGATTCTTTTGAAATATACCATCAATTAAACGGCTCCAGTTTTGAGTTTCAGAATTGTCTAGATAACGACAAGGAAATATAATGTAGCTCAATCAAGGTCGATCTAATGTTTGTTAATCGATCTAGATAGGTCTATGTAATATTTTCGATAAATTGAATACCGCAAGTTTCTATCTGGTGAATGGAGGCGTACACTTTCCATAAGAGCACTAAACATGTAGAAAATACCAACACATTTATAATACAAACTCATATTCAATAAAACTAGGGCAAAACATGAACAAAAGAAAGATGTACTCAATCATTCCTGAAAAAATACAAGGAGAATAAGACCATGTGTTCCGAAAGATTAAGGGTTTCTTGCTTTGATCGACGACACCCACAATGTCATGATACGACAATTGAATAAATCTTAAGTGATTTCAAAATCGGTAAAATGTATTTTTAGCAATTTAAACATGCTTATTGCATAATTTGCCATATTCATTAAGATTTAATTTTCGTTGATTTTTTGCCTAATACTGCTATATTTTCCAGTTTTGTGTAGTACCAAAGTACATGAAGTATTTTGTATTTGTTTAAAATTAAATCCAGTAGGTATAAATTAACATGGTGTTTTCTGCACTAGAAATCTATCCTCTAAAGAACAACTGACAGTTTAGTTTGTATTATAAAAACTTAACAATTATTAAATAATTAGTATTACAGATAACATGTTATCGTCATTCCAATTTTCTTCTTTTATAATTAAACATAACAATAATGGATATAAATTAGTTAGATATTCTAATTAATAATTAAAAAATGAGGCCAGAAATGATAACCTTGTCTGACACCTGTCAAGTGTAAGTATGTTAATTTCCTGAAACATATAAAGGTATTACTATAAAGTATTCATACCATTTTTGCTAAGTATCTATAGACAATTATATAAACAAAGTTACACTTATGTCAGAAATTCTGTATAGAATTCAAATTACTGCAAATCTCCCATCAAGTTTACTAACAATCATGTCAGACGTGTGCACAGGTCGTGGTTGCAAAACCAGGTTGAAAGATTTATCTCAAGAAGCCCAAACTCAAGTAAGACATGTATATTTACCCCAGTATAACTGGCTGCACCAGCTGCTGACTGCCGAGTTATGTGGAAAGTGCTACAAGCGGTACCTCAAGCAAAGGCCATTGCAGTCTTAATTGTATGAACTTTCTGGTATTAGCACTCCAGATGACCTGACGAATAATGCAGACGATGCTGACACTGATTTCATGTCATCAAACCAACTACCACTAATCTCTGCACTATACCCCAGCGTGCCAGGACAAACTTGATATTTTTCCATTTTCTATGGTGTCCCCCTGATGCTTGTGTTTGTAATGACCATGTAATTTGTGACTTTCTGAATCCTTCTTTGCCACTAGATCTGCAAACAAAGGAACTGTTAGCTCTTTATCTTCAAGAAAGTGCTAATCAGGTTATCAATGATCTTCTTGAACTAAGCCATTTCCTTTCTGCTGGTTCTCCAACCAGCACAGGCATATATGTAGACCATCTCAGAAATATAGAATTCAAAGCATGGACTGGTTACACATTTGACCAAATGCAGCAAATCCATAGCATTCGCTCCTCACACATCAATACAGGATCATGTTCCTCTACTTTGTTTCTTTTCTGGGTTAATTTGAAGACCAATATTTCATGGTCTCAACTTGGTGTGTTGTGTGGTCTGACAAAAACAACTGTACGTGTCTCACACATTTCATGGTGTCTTAAAAGCCTTGAGCCAGACCATTGTGCCCCGTTTCCTTGGTCAAAGACACATTACCCGCGAGGACGCTAAGTGCTTTACAAGATGTTTCTACGGGGACAAAGTAACTGTAATCCTTGATGGTATCTATATTTATGTCCAAAAAGTGCTGATCAGCCCCTTTAAATATCCTCATACTGTGGGCAAAAGAAGCGCAACTATGTTAAATTCAGGAGCATTGTCTTTCCAGATGGTTATGTCAGGTCAGACACAGCATGATACACTTACTGCTAACGAGGACCGCCAGTGTACTAAGTCAAGATGGGTTGTGGAGAGCTACCATGGTCGACTGAAACAGTGGAAACTGTTCAGAGAACAACTCAGCTCAAACTACTTCCTTAGTGTCATAGAGGAACTGGTAAAAGTAGCTACTTCTTCCTTGAATGCTGTACATGGACCAATTTATGTGTCCACACCAGGACTTGAGGGACCATCGCCTTGCTGAGCGAATGCAATCCCGTTTGGCTCTGCCAAATACCTTGGCCTCAAGGGTGGCAGATGAACCTGACCTTTCCAGGCGCAACAAGGCCAACTGTGTGAAACTTGATGTCTGTTCAATAGAGTTTCCAGTACTGGATATGGAATATTTAGCATCAGTAGCCTGCGGATCATACCAGTTGAAAGAAGCACCAAGATATATTGTTGAACATCTGACTCCTGCTGGAGACTTTGAAGTTTGGGTCTATTAGGATGATGAAAATCTTCTCCGAGCCCAAATCCATTCAAGGCACAAGTCACAGTCAAAACACAATGTCTGGATTGCGTTTGACAGAAATTATCAGGATGACCCTGTCAAAGATCACTACTGTGTCTGTCAAGCGGGTATTGAATGTTTGCACATGTTGCGTGTATTTTGTATTTCTTTGGCCATGTTCAGCATCAAGATCAAACAAACCTAGTTCATGTAACACTCAAGTTCAAACAAGCAATCACTTGAGCAGTTCTGCTATACTAAAACGCAATGTAATGTGCTGCAACTGTTCTATTAGCTTCTCAAAGTGCCACAAATTATGGATTGAAACTGAGAAAGGCAAAACCTGTTCCTATTACTGTACATAGTCTATCTAATTAGGTCACTTTATTGACCTTTATCAAAAGATTTTTATAAAGCTGCTAACTAAATCTTCAAATTGCGAAACTTGCATAAAAAATGTCTTTATTTTAACAAATTTCATTTGTTTGACCTTGAATAGAGGTCAAGTTCAGCAATGTTAACCAAACTGATCCAAATTGACATGAACAACCACCTTGGCAAATAGCAAGACCTACAGACTTTTGGTTATTAAGCTGTCACTATTTAACGAAAATGAAAAAGGTCAGTGTTTCTTTGTTTTTTAAGCAAATGTGAAAAATGACAAATTTACCGGTTTTCATTTTTCCCAAGAATCCTCCATTTGAAAGATATCATCTGTGGCCAGCTGTTAAGCAAGTATGAAAAATAGACTGGTTTCGGAAGTATGAAAATTGAAGTGTCCAAACAGTACTTTTCTCAAAGGTAATGGCTTTTTATATGTATTTTGGCTGCATTTTTTAACATAAAAGAAACGTTTCTTCTGAAATAGTGTGATATGTGGTATCAAAATGTTGGTTGGTACAATGTGCACACATTTATGAAATAATTTTATTGGAATTGCCTCATGATAATGCACTAGAAGGAATTACATAACAATTACTTTAACACCCACCAAAGTGTTAGTCAAGGAGCTCCCATTTCATCAATTCCGAGACCAACTTTTCCGTATTTAAGCTTCTGATACCCATATCTGTTTATAGTTATCATATTATGAAATTCCAAGTGGGGGCCGATGCTAATGTTAAATTCCCATATATGTTGACCCCCACCTTTCACATGTAATCGATTGTTTTTCGATTATCCAATATCTAAATGTATCAAAGGGATTTTTCGTTCTAGATTTACCAAAAAAGTTCGACTCTGCTATCCATGAAGGAGGATATTTGGCCTTTTTATTTGCTAATGGGAATCTAAACACTATTGCTGACTTCTTCTGAAGGCGCTGTTTCAATATGAGTTTCAACTAATTCTATAGCAAATTGCTGAAGGATAAACCACTAGGCAAATCCTATAAAGTACAGGTGATATTCATCTGTTTCTTTTGTACAGCTGTTGGCTTCTCGTTAAATACGGCATAAACGTCAGTTAAATTAAGCGAAGTGTACTCAACGTCTGGCTAAACGATATCTAAGATTAATCCGGATACTAAGGTAACACTTCGATGTTTGAGGCTCTTTGTATCAACAAACACAATCAAATAACAGTTGGGATTTGCCAATGATGTAGTTTAATTGGATAAACAGTTTGAAGCATTTTTGTTTAATTACTTGTCATCGAAATCCTAGTGTCGCCAGCTTGTGTTTAGAACGAGGCTTGAACCTGTCTTCAGATTAACTGTAGATTTCAGAGCGGTTCATCTTTACATCCATTGCCGAAGTGACTGCATTGGAATTTGGTCACTTATGGTAAAAAAAGACATTTTTAATTAGTGGGACTTTATGTTCTACAGGTATGAAAAATGGCAGAGTTGAGATGAACCCCAGAGGTGTCGTTTTTGATTCTTATGTTTCTGACTTTGAGACATATTCGTAATTATTGTACACGAACTGTTGCTTTCTGTTTTTGTTCCACATGTCCTTTTGTAACCACAGCTTTAGAAAGATCCAAGTTTTATTGTGATTATTTAATTTTCATTGTACTTTTGCTAAAATTGTTAGTCTCTTGTTTGTAAAATTAAATTTTGAACGCCTAATTGTTTTGCCATCATTGTATGAATTTTTACATAAATTTTGTACTTTCCGTACCGCCTCGAGCTGGTTCGACATCGGATGAATGAGTAAAACATAACAAACTCAATTATAAAACAAATACAAAAAAGATGACGTCATGAGTAATGGCATATCATTGCTGTAATGTTCTACCGTTTGGTATATGGCACATGATACAAGCAAATAGCGTGTTATTTTCCAGGATATACACTGCAACAGGACACCATTTTGTTATGTTAGAAAATGGCTCATTATGTTGTCGTAAAATATAACAAACAAAATCATTAAAAAGAACAAAAGGTCACTGCCTTTGATAAAAGCTAAATAACCGGACAGATCGTGAAATAGGAAATAGCTATTACGTTCATAGACTTTGTGACCTCCTCAATTCTTCTCGGGTGTAGGATTTCTATATCTTTATATAATGATCTTGGCTTCGCCATTAACAAACGTTTTATTTGATAAACATTGCGTGTTTAAGATCAAGTTAACATGTGTAATTGTTCTGATTCCCTACCGTAAAACAAACCCATATTTATGCGATGCGTACAGTTTCATTCCAGGTTATACTTTTACTCTCGAAAGACAGGTCAACGGACAACGGTCATCACTGACCACAGCCAGTGCTTTACAAAATGACCTAAACACTGTTGTCCATTAGTAGGTACACTGTTTGCCTTGCTGTTAGATTCCCCATGGTCATCATACCAAAGAGGTTTAAAGTATTAAGGATGTCAATGGCTCCGTTAGCGTTAACGAATGTCCTGGTGACGTTTTACTTCACTGCAATAACATCATCCGAGACTTGAGCACTCTCAGAGATCTAAAACCATAAATTACAACTTTTAGTGTTATTCCATGGAGTCACAATCAGAATTTAACATTGCTTAGTTATAGACCGCAAAATGATTAACATGTCGACAATAGCATGTAATTTATCGGAGAATAGCTGAGTTTCCTTACCTAGGTTAATTGCCGTGAGAACTTTGGTAATAACGTATTCAGGGTTATATATGGTTCAATAAACATTTTGGTACGTGTATATCATACACTATAATGTTAATACGATGCTGGAGGTACAATGTTGTACATTGTTGTTAACTCGTCAATACAAACCGTATATTACTTTATTGCGTATATCACTGTATCGTAAAATGAAAAGTTTCGTTGACAAAGAACCCTATCAGCTATCACTGCGGGAATGTCAGCTGTTCTCGTGACTTATAGATAGATGAATTCCTAGGACGCAAAAAGGGACAAATTACCTCTAACATTATCATTGAATTAACACGTAACTGACCAGTTCTGCTGCCTAATATAGATATGTTTTCGGCCACATCGACCGTTCGGGATTCAGACTTGTCCATCAATGATAACTAAATCTGACACCATCACGTATGTCTTTTAGTTTTCTGTCTTCCTGTCAATTTTGGCAAACAAACACTTGATTGAATAGAAAGTCTTGACCTTTTCTTTAAGATCGGGGTTCTGTATACAAGACACAGCAATACTTTTAGAAATGATATATCACTGTGGTTTGTCTTAAGTGGTACGAATGATGTCTAAGGCAGGCTTCAATGGACGTGATTTATTTCTTAGTAATGCTGACGATGTCTTGCTTTACGACATATAGCAAGGGAACATTGACGTCATGTCTGTCTGACTATTGTACATAGTACATTACCATGGTGACGAATTTACCACTTAGTGTACTTGTTTATGTACAGTACACATCCACAGCATTCTCCTCAGTTATTTTTATTATAAAAGTTAGATATTTATGTTTGATAAAAGATTCAGCCCGACGAAGCCGAAGGGGACAGAAAGGTCTCGAAGTGTGTTATGGTTTTTCTTCTTCTTTTATTTCACTCATTCTCTTTTTTATACTAAATACTTTGAGATTAAGATTTACATAGAGAAGATAATTTTTGTCTTGTCCGATTGTTACGTTTCAAAGGCATTAGTTATCTGTGTATTTCTGATTGTGAATAACAAACTGCTTACTTCTTTGGCGACGATTTTCCCCCCAATATACCAATCATCTGATACAATTGGATGGTGGGTCATAACGACTGATTGTCTCCAAAAGAAAACCCTACTTTCTTAAGTTACGAAGAAATATATGGATGCTACTATTTTAAGAAGTATATAGGACTCCTGGCTTTATTTAGAAACATATAAAGGCGACATATTGGTCGTGTTAGAAATACTGAAGTTCTACTAATCTCAGAGTGTGTTATCATATGAGAGGAGTCACTGGTTACAAAAACAATTAAATATTGTACGGGGATTACTATAATTACATAAGGCAGAGATGAACCATTGTCTCGAGTCCGTCTGACTAGACTGCTAGGC